ACGCGCCGCCATCTTGCCGGAGCCATATTTGTTTTGTTTTTTTAGGGTTCAGTTAAATATTAACGGCTAAACATTTATTTTATGATTAATAAAATGAACCTATCGAATAGTTGAGCTCACAATAAAATTTGACTCAATGTCTTTAATAGAATTTTACACACAAGGCGAAGCTGGCTGCAATATAAAAAGATACAATTAAAACAGTTTATAAAGAAAATTGTAGGTATACATGTGTCATTTCGGCAAGTTCATAAAAAAATTAACGTAAAATTATAACAATTTGAACTGAACTCGCATAGATATATTTATAACCCTAATAATCCAAAGTAATTGGTCGAAAAGGCCACCCGTAACGAAATAAAATTATTGGACTGCAGCTACTGGGCAATAAAACAAATGTATTTTTATGTAACTTTTTATTAATACGAGGTTAATCCAGTTAAATTTTGAAGAGATCACGCCTTTTGTAAAATGTATGTAGGTACTAAACTTACAATTCTTAGAAGAACCATGAAATTAGAAATAGTGTTCATTGTTTAGCAGGAGGTTCAATCTATAACACAACGTAAGCGTGCCATACCTACTTAGGCACGAATGGTTCAGCTCGACCGAAGTGATACCACGGCCTTACAAAAAACTGCCGTTAACAACCACAGCGTTACGTTTCGCCGTATGAGTGAGATTACCGAAGACCCTATCCTTCTTCCTCTTATCCAATCAATAAGATATCATAAAATCGAATCCCCAAAATGACGGCAACGCCTTTGGTGTTGTGGATGTCCATGGGCATCGCCGATTGCTTACCATCAGGTAATCCTACTCGTTTGCTATCCTATCACATTAAAAAAAACATTTTTCTAAATATAGTTTCATATTATTAAGATTTAAAGATCTCTATATATTTTTTTAATCATAAAAATCATACTGGACCCGACGCGAATAACTTATAAAGTCATGCCTTCGTCTAACCTTTTTTTTAAAAAAAAACTTAATGCAATGCTTCTGTCAACGTCAAAAATTATCTGAATCATGTCAAAAATAAAATGACAGGGAAAAAATTTTTGCTACATTTATACTGATAACTCGAGTTCTAAGATAACTTTGTGAGTTAAACCGCGGTTAAGTGTTTAACTGACTACCGGAGACGGATTATGATTGCACTTTGTTTTTATTTAATTATTTATCTTGAGTTTTAATGTTTTGTGAGCTGATTAATTACGTGGGTATATTATAAGTAGTTGCAGTTACAATGTGTTTGAATAAATTAGTTAGCGATTAAATTAATAATGTTAGTAAATCAATCGATCTTAATTTTAACTGTGTGATATTTTCTTAATCTCCGATCTTGTTTATAACTTTAGATGTTTTTCTAAAATATTAGAAAAAGGAGACCATTTAAAAAAATATCCTGAATCTTAATCAAAAACAAAAATATTGATTGATTGACATTAAAAATACATTGTCAAGTTAGTTGCTTCGTTGACACAATGCATTTTTTACGATTCACAAACTATCAAAGCAAACAAAAAATAAAACACAATCGCACTATACACTAGCGTCGATTTAAAAATTCAAAATCAATCCGCTCCTACGCAATTCCAAATTCTATTACAAAAAAATCTTTTATGCATGAAAAGAAAAACATAAGCGGAATCGTGTGAAAACCGACACTCGCGTTTTTCACGGTCGGGTCTCTAGGGCCCCCCGTGGCGGTGGGAGGGTTAATTCATTTGTCGCAACAACATCCTTGGGGTTGAATCATTGCTTCCACAGTCCACTTGATTTCCCATCATTGTTTCCTATTTTGCATAATTTAAAAGAAAAGGCTTATTGTGTTATTGTATTTTGAAACAGATGCTTTATTTTATTTTTTAAAGAAAAAAAAGCGACCCTCATTTGTTAGCGATAATTTAATGTAGGCATTTATAAGTACATGCCTTTTATCCTATTAGTATTTTATTTACCTTTTTCGGATTACACACATAATATAACCGACTAAATGATGTAACAAAAAATTAATTGTGAAACTGATTGAAAAAGAGTTGACCATGGAGTTTCTTGCTCGTTCTTCTCCATAGGAATTTACAACTTCGGAACGAGCAACTAGCTTTACTAGAGGACAGACCGACAGACGAACACACTTTTCTACTAATATTTAAATATTTTGTCTGACGTTCAAAAGAGCTTATATTTGTTCATTTGAAATAATTGATTTGACTTTACCGCACAAGGAATGATGAAGTTATGGACAAGTAAAATAGGAAGAAAAACAAATATAGAATTGTTTCCAATCGCACAACTTCCTAATAAAATTATAATTATTATTCTATAAAAAAACAATCACTGCTTTTTATTCATTATTGTTAAAACAGCCAACAAATAAATTGAACTAAAATTGTTCAGATATAAAATTCTCATTAAAAGAAAAGATGTGGTTTTTTAACAACGCAGGTACGCACCCTAATCTCAAATTGATAACAGCATCGTCATAAACAAAGAAAACAGTAGATAAGTAATTATTTCGTAATCCCTTTTCCATTAAAAAACAATCAAATGTTTTTTTTTTCTAAGGTGCCTCCTACGTGATGCCTTTTTTTCTATTAATTTTATACACAACGTTATACCACTGGTATTTAGAAAAGGAATTGTCAGCCATTTTTTCTCGTGTATATTAGAAAGTTAGTATACCTATAAAGATTTTTTCAAACTAGCTTCTGTCACGCGGTTTCTCTCTCGCGTAGCGTGATGTTTTATAGCCTGCTAAAGCCTTCCTCGATAAATGTACTAAGAAACACAATCAGAATTAATTAATTCGAACCAGTACTTCTAGAGATTAGCGCGTTCAACTAAAAAAACAAACAAATTCTTCAGCTTTATAATATTACATAGTATATAGTATAGATTGTTATGGATCCTCTAGATCTGGGAAGGTTGAAGTAAGCTGTCAGATTCTAACTGTAGACAAACTGTAGACAACTTTTCTGGTCCCCTATACGAGTACAGGGTAAAAACTATGAAGACTGGTTTTAAGATCTCACTAGAAAAGGAGTTAGAGTGAGATAAAATGTAATGTTTCACTCTTCTAAAGCTAGAAAAAAAAATGTCACTCAATCTACTATTTAAGCCATAAAAATCAATTTCTTCAAGAAACAAAATTGAATGAAGATGGAAAACGTAGAAAAATCATTGTTAACTTATCAAATTTGTCTAAGATGGATAATTTAAAACGGACTTAAGTACCTACCTAGCACTTCTAACACATTAGTTAAAACAAGTAACTCCCAATTCCCTCCTAAGACAACACAATCCAGAATTCCAGATACTCTCATTATTATTCAATTAAACATTCATTTTGTTTATCAGGGGGCACTGTGTGAAAGTTAACACTGGCGCTGTTTATTTACGCTGTGGGCTTTATAGACCCACGTTGGCGTGCGTGGGGTTAACTCTAGACACGATATAAAAAAACAAGTGAGATGTTTTTGAAGCGTTTTCTTATTTAGAGATGGATATTTTGTGAGTCAAAAAAATCTTTCTAATCCAAATTAATATTATAAATGCGAAAGTAACTCTGACTGTCTGTTTTTCCGCCTTTTCTTCACGCCTAAAATACTGAACTGATTTCTATGAAATTTGATACAGACATAGTTTGGAACTCGATAAAGGATATAGGATAGTTTTTTATACTAAAAATCTGCAGGAATTCACTATTCCACGCGAACGGAGTCGCGGGCAAAAGCTTGTATTAGGTATATAAATGTAAAAGTTTGTCAGTATGTATGGATGTATGTTTGTAATTCTTTTACTCAAAAACGGCTGGACGGTGATACCATAGATTAACAGATAAGCTTGCTTCTTATGGACTCACCACGCGAGCGAATCTGCGGAAGCTAGTGTGGTTAATATACCTATATGTTTATTAACTTTTTTTTTCTTTAGAGAAAGACGGACTATGCAACTAATTTTTTATCCTTTGCTTATTTGAGATAAAACTTTTATCCATCCATATTATAATACACTAGCTCCAGCCCGCTGATTCGCCCTCGTGGTACGTTGATAAAAAGTAGTCTATGTCCTATTCCGGAGTGTATCCAAATTTCATCCAGATCCGTCCAGCCGTTTTGGCGTGATTGACTAACAGACATCCAAACACCGTAACTTTCGCATTTATAATATTTGTAAGAGTAGAAGTAAGTCATACAAAAGCTTACTTCAAAATTGAACCTTGTTATTGAAACATATTTTTTAAGACTGAAATATAACATTTGTGACTTAGGACCCTTTTTCTTTACGCATACGAATTATAACAATTCACTTAACAAAATTCTCAGCCATTTTCACACCAAACGCGTATAACGCGGCACGTGTCCCATAACACTCGAATCTGCCTCAAGGGTAATTGGGAAGCGATACATTTCCAACCCTGCGACGATTTCCTCGCTGGGATGTTTTGTACCCCAACCCTGCGGCCGCTAATTGTAAAGTCAACACTGTGTTTGCACAGAAAACTGTTTTTAGTGATTGTTGTTTGTTTTTTTTAGCAAGTGCAATTCTACCCCCGGGTTGAATAGGGGGGTGTGAAGTGGGAGGATCGATATTTTTTTAACGTTAGAATTGTTTTTGATGAGAAACTTTGAGTTGGATACATTTCTGAGGTGGGATGATTTATTTTCTTATAGACATGCACCTTATTTCGTACCTATCTCAATACATGAAAAAATTACCCTGAAATCAGACTTTTTAAGTAAGAAACTGTGTTATACTTGAGCTTTTAGGTACCTACCTAAGATAAAAAAAATAGGTAACCCACATGACTTTCTTCGTCAAAAATAATTTAATTTCTTTATTGATTTGTTCATTACGATACAATGACATCGTTTAACAATAAATACTGACGTATTATTACATTTATTTCTCAAACTACCCTCTTTGATTTATTAACAAAATTCACAACTGCCTCCCTTTCAAGAAGATAATATATATTTTTCCTTCATTCCCAGATCAATATGAAAAACCATGGAGCTGGAGTAAGTTCATCAATATTATTTTTCTAAACATTTCTTCTTAACTTACTAACCGATATTAACGACTTTTCAAATTCAAAAAAAGAAGCAATTGGTTTATAGTTTTGTTACATTGGAATTACTTTTTTTGACATAATATTTTAATAGTAACTTGTTGGCAAGGATAATAAATATGCATGTTTTTATGTTATCATATTATTTTTCTCTCATCACTTATTAATAGCATATTTCTGAGACATTAGACCCATAACAATAATTCTAAATTAAAAAGAATCCAAGTTACATGCCACTAAAATAGCAACCACGATAGGTAGGTAGACAAATATTTTCACTAAATTTGAATACAGAAAACGGAAACCTCATTATCTATGGTAGTTGAAGTCGTCAGTCGTAAGTGAGAGGGCGTACGGTGCGCACGTGTCTGGCACGCGCTCGCTTTTATCTGTTTGCACAGCAATTCGCGCTGAATATATTTACGATAAATAATTAAGAGGATGACTTGACACTTGATACTATTTGTATTATAGTTTGAAGCAGAAAATTAAATGAAAATAAAATGTTGCATTTGAATTTAGAGCAGAATAATTAAGTGAGAAGTTCTTTTAAATTAAAGGAAATCGTAAATGCGTTTTAGCAATCTATAATAAATTATATAGTAAGTACTTCAAACAAATGTAGCCGACCACAACAAGCATAACCTAACCTCGAAAAGCGTACGGCGCGACGCGTTCCGCACGCGTCTAAATGAGCCTATAGACCATCACTGGTGGGGTCCTATAGAGCTGATGTTCAGCCGATGTTGCGGGGCATGCGCAATGAGGCACCGTGGCCTCGGCCCAGAGTAGGAGAAGGAACCGGGGCGAGTTTTAATCAGTAAAAGTCCGACACTCTCTCTTGCCTTACCCTGGGCGTAAGAAGTTAAATAATTTTCCGCTGACAAGAAAAAAACATAACCTAACCTATTTATAAAACAATTATTACTAAAACAAATTCATTTTGAACCACTCAAAACAAATTAGCCGTTCCACTAGCTCCTTAAAATATAACCCTCCCCTAAAATTACATGCTCAGTCATTAAAGAAATAAATTGTAACCGAGAATCGAACCCCTGTCCTTATCTCGGGAGCCCACTCGGAACTTGTTTATCGTGGCGTTTCACGATAAGTTAATCCTCCATGGTAGAGCGAGACAGGTATATCGGGACTCCTTGTCTTTCGATTTTGGACGGAGTGAATTTTAGTCTTAGATATTAGCTGGAGTTGCAGGTGCATGTACGGTAGATCAGCTTGTAGCAGGAGAAGGAACGGAGTGGTTTTTAGTCAGTAAGAGTCTGACACTCCCTCACTCCCCATCTAGGGCGAAATAAATAACTTAACGATTTTCTTCTGTTACAAAAGGTATATCTGTCTTATTGCTCTAGTAGTTGTTAGTCAAACACTCGACCTTGGGAGCTCGAGTCCAGTTTTATGACCTTATATTTCATTTATTAAAAACTAGCTACTATCGCGCGGTTTCACCCGCTGCTCCATTTGGCTCCATTTGATCGTAGCGTGATGTTTTATAGACTATAGCACTCAGGAACATTGTAGCTATCTATCAGTGAAAGAATTTTGGGGATCTGATCAGCGGTTCCAAAGATTAGCCCCTACATACAAACTTACAAATGTTACCTCTTTATAATATTAGAATAGATAACGAGTTAATTACGTGAATAAACTGAAAAGCTCTTCGAATTCAAAGTCACAACAGGACTTTTATAAGCGTGGAAGCCCGAGTTCGGTTTTAAAACCACATAATTCGTTTATTGAATACTAGCTTTTGCCCGTTCCTCCGTTCGCGTGGAATAGTGACTTCCTGTAGATTTTTTGTATAAAAGCTATCCTATGTCCTTTCTAGACTTCCAAAGTATTTCTGTGTCAAATTCTACAGAAATCGGTTCAGTAGTTTAGGCGTGAAGAAAAGACAGACACACAGACAGACTTTCGCATTTATAATATTAGTTTGGAGGTTAAGATAACGACTTTTTTTATAAACTGGAAAGCTCTTCTATTTTCAAGCCACAACGGGACTCTTATTCATGAGCATATTCTTTCTCATTTTTTTCACGTGAGTAAGTCGTTATCTATACTATACTATATATTAATATTATAAAGAGGTAAAGTTTGTAAGCTTGTAAGTTTGTATGTAGGGAGTAATCTTTGGAACCTCTGGTCGGATTGCCAAAATTCTTTCACTGATAGATAGCAACAATGTTCCTGAGTGCTATAGGCTATAAAACATCACGCTACGATCAAATGGAGCTGAGCAGCGGGTGAAACCGCGCGAGAGTAGCTAGTTTTTAATAAATTAAGTATGTTTCACAATACTTAGTTGCTATTCAAGTTATGTCAAGGTATTTGGTTTGTGGCCTGCGTTTGGTTTCATTTTTGTCTTCCTCAATAGAACTTAATATGTATATTGTGATGAAGGTATACCCCTAACTACCTAAAAGTTATAAGATTGTATGTAGGGGGCAACCTTTGAAACCGCTTGTCGGATTTCTAAAATTCTTTCACTGATAGATAGCTACAATGTGCCTGATTGCTATAGACTGTAAATTAAACTGTAAATTAAACTGTTTGGCGTATTTAAGTCGAGCTATCGCTTTAAATGCTGCTGTTTTCAAAATCTCTGGTTACATTACCCTTTATAAGTACGCGTGCCAAGCGTGGCGGAAGCTAGTAATTTAATATATTGAATCCATTGACGAAATTTTCAAGCTCCCATACAACTATAACATTATTTAGAAAGGTCCATTCACCCTATGTTCAACCTATAACAAATAACTAATAATTTATAAGATATATTTCAATTCGGTTAGCACACCCCTACAGTAGGGCTGCCACATTATCATGGTAATAAAATAACTCATTGCATACTGTCAACATTAACGCCTACCGTTCGCCCTTATTACCAAGTCTTAAGGTATAAAGTTCCACACTCGTGATGCCCTATTTTCCCTTAGTAGTAATCTATCACAACTTGTCATGTTTCGCACCCCTGCGGCAGTGTTGCCAGCGCAATTTATGTGTTAACATGATTTATAGGCTGGCAACCCTCGTTTCAGTGGGTGTTGGTAGTTGCTACCATTTTATTATATAGGGAATTGTTATGTGGGTACTTATTATATAGGTATATCTAGATATATTATTAACATCTGTATATAGTTTTGCCAGCAACTATTTACTTACTTTCTTAAGCTAGTTATATGAGAGTAACTCTGGTAGTCTTTTAAAATATAAAAAGAATTCAAAAAAAGAACACGTAAGCTACAGATAACGATACAACTTAACATAATTAGTTAACTAAATATCATCAAAACAAATCAAGTTCGATCGTTCAAAACAAAATAATAATTCCATCAATGAAATCCCAATTTCATCAACACATCTTAAAATCATTGAATCAAATCACGCTACATCTAATCGAATAGGATGCTTGCAACCCTCTACGACATCATTCTTCTAAAATAACAATCCGGTCTAAATCCGAACGCGCCCATTAAAAGACCCCCCTCTTTTAAATGTCAAAGTGACAGTTGACGGACCCGCCATTTTGAGACTTTGAAATGTCGCTTTCGTGTTTTTTGTTTTGTTAGTTTTAATTAATTATTTTTGTGCTAATCCCAACCTCTGTGTTGGTGTATATTAAACTAATAGTTTTTTAGAGATATTTAAATACTTTTTTGTCTTGTTATCGGCATAGAATGTTACCTAATAACAATGTACCTATAGGTCAAAAACCATAGCGAAAGCTCACTTTTTTGGCAAAATATAGAGCTAACCAGGAAAATTTATTGCAGCAGTATTATTATTTATTTTTTATTTAGTGAATTCTACAAATATTTACTAATAATGCCCTTCTTATGTTTAACCATATCAGAATTGTACATTTTTATTTCAATTTTCAAAATTCTATAATTTAAATTAAATAACAACAAAGGGCGTAGATTAAAATGTTTCTAATTCAAATTAACAATAGCCATTCTAGCCGTGGCCAGTGGCCAACCCTACAAAAATGCAAATAGGAATCAATCTAAAACAGCTCCTATTCTTTTGATAACAAAGATGACATTTTATAATCCCTTGCAGCTGTGTGCCCTTAAAAGTATTTTACACGTCATTAGGGGTCCCCAAACTCCTGGGTCTCTGGGGGAAACTCCGAGTATGGGGTCAAATGCCGTGAAAAACGGAAAAATAATGCGTTTGTCCCCCTTTATGTACTCAACAAATTAGCTCCACGATTTATTTTTGTGTGGTGTGATGTTGGGGGTAATTTTTTAAATAAATACGAATGTGGTATTACTAAAAAAATGTACCTATTGATTAATTTATTCATTAGGTCAAGCAGTTTTTGTGGAATGTAATCGAAGAATTGAAACGAGGGTTACCAAGCCTTCAGTTCGAACAAAGATTATTGGTAGACTTAAATCAAGAAATTATAGCGCAGGACGAATGAAAAATCCCTACCAACGTTTATAGCTTTTATAAGTTATTATCTAAACTAAAATTAAGGATAAATTGTTGCTTACACAATCAGAACAAACACTCGTGAATCTGAAATTATTTTCAAATTAAGAATAACTAATTCGGACACTAAAATGAATAAAGAGAACTAAAACCATTTCAATGCATGATATCCAAATCAACCGCTAACACAAAAAAGTCACCGAGACTCCTCCAAAATTTGACGCCAACAAAATTCCTATCTCTAACCGAAAACATTCCAGTAACATGACCTTACAAAAACTAGTGATTATCATACTGATCTATAAGGCTTAGAAATTGGAGCACAAACACGACTCCATCATTAGGGAGTCGGTAGCAATCTGAATTGAAATCTGTCCAAATCCATCGATAAGATCCATCATAGAAAAAAGAAGAAGAAAACATGATTTTCGATGAATAAGTGTTTAGCTTTTGTTTTTTTTTTTTTTTGTTCTTTAAAAAGTTATTTTTGCTGCAATTTTTTTAATAAAATTTTATTAATGAAATTGTTTTTAATGAAGAAAGGCTGTGTTTTCTCCAACATAAATAAAATTATGTTTAATAGATAAAAATGGCTATATCAACATATAGTATACTTAATATTAGTTGATTCAAAACTTTGCATTAGCATTCACAATATGTAAACATGTCTGCAACACCCGCGTATTTCACACAAAGAAAAAATCATCCGAAATATGTCATCAACAAATTGTAACCCATTTCACGTACGGCGTAACCCATTTGACGGAGCACAAAGAGAAAGAGACCAAACATAGGTGCCCCATATTCATTACAATAAAAGCCATAACATTTCGAAAATACAACTAAATATCAACACCATGTGCAAAGGTTTTCTACGGAACCCTACAAACCTCGCCGGTCGCCATGTCACTAGGATTAGCGATCATGCCATTGTCAAATGACAATTGAAATCTATCCATCTTTCTCAAACATACCCCAATTTCACGTACATGAAAGAGACAAACATATGAATTCATTTTCACTTTTGAACATGTGACAGACTGAATGTTTGTTTGGATATTCACAATGGTGTATCGCGAGCGCGTTCCAAAATGGATATTGTATTATTTTTATATTTTTAATCCGACACAGAGAGCGCTAATATCAGTTTTCGTCGAATTGTTATAGTAGATCGTATATAGTATAATTGTTTGGCCGAAATATTTAAATGTAACGGAACTTTTTCGATATTTGACCACTTTTTTCTGTCGCATTTCTATACTTTTTTACCGAACTTGTTTAGTACAGTCACTGTGGTATAGACACTCTATACTTGTTAATTCTTATTCATATTTTGGTTAAGTGACTTTTCTTAACTAAGTACTAAGTACTTTTCTTGACTATGAACTTATACGACCTTGGCAAAAGGTTCGCTAACTATTGAAATAATAACATAAGTTTGATCATCTACACGTACATATGGACGTAGTAAATTAAATTGCCCTCTATTTGTATAACTCGTCGATAATCTGTCATACTACACTTTTACAAACCCAACGAAAAAGTCTAACATCCTAATCCCGAACTAAAAGGACATTCCATAACCAAAAATAAAGAATTATTACTCTATGCGTCTAGTTGTCTATGGTAAACAAAAGCGTCGAGCGCGCGCTCGCGTCACGCAGTCTGTCTTTGACCATTCACAAGAAAACATGAAGAAAAACATGCGTCGGAGCTATTTATCATTGAAACTTTGTGACTTACTTATGTTAGATGTAATTTGGACTTGACTGATGGTAGAGATGGGTTTGTTAATGATTTTTAATTTCTATGAGGATTACAAGGTATTAGTGGAAGTATGACCTGCTTTATTTGTTTGTTTAGAATGTCATACAACATGAGTAATAGCGGATAAATTCCTTTCGTCAGTTGTTTGACATGTTTTCTGGTCCATTATTCTTGTATTATTGTCAGGAAAGTAGAAGGATTTGAAAGTGTTTCGTTGGTTTCTATGAGCATATGAATCGATTGATAACAGTGACAGTTGTCAGCAATACTGCAAATATTTTTTCGAATCTTTTCTGTAAACAGTTTTAGTATTTAAGCAAAAACAAAGTGCCGGAATTAAAAAAATATACGGTACACTTTATTCGATACGTAAACGTATCTAAACACATAAAATGAAATACTACACGCCTATACAGTAAACATAATAATATTATCCAGATTTCAAACTTAACCTTATTAAATTAATAACTTTTTGAACCATAAAGTTCTAAAGTAGGCATTATATTTTATTACCTTTGCCATAATTTTAGACACGCCATAAATCGAATGACGTTTGACGTTTTGATTGACTGTCATAATATTAAAGAAAGCTATTGAGAACGCAACCGGTTTTAATTTTTATAATTATATTGGTACCTATTTACTAAATATTAATAAACTGTTGGCTTGAAATAATTTGCTATTTTCTTTTACCTTAACTCGTAAGATCATGACCGAACAAGGTCGTCAATTCGGTGTACCTAGAAAAGTGGTTTTACTTGCGGCTGACTATTTACTCCCATTCACCAATGCGTGATACACATTTCAGATTTTATAGCCCTCCTGAAAAAAATCAAACGGTCTATTTGACGAAAATACTATAGTGTTATCTACACTTTTTAGTTTACCCTAAGCATTAGAGCAGATAATCAACCTTAGCAAATACTATGTATAATACATACCTGCAAACATGTGTTTTATGGTAATTTTTTTATGGTATAAATTGGCAAACGAGCAGACGGATTACCTGATGGTAAGCAATCGGCGCCGCCCATGGGCACCCGCAACACCAAATGAGTTACGAGTGCGTTGCCGGCCTTTTGGGGATATGGGTTGGAAGGGGAGGGATTAGGCCTCCGGTAACTTCACTCACACGGCGAAACACAACGCTGGGTTGTTTCACGCCGGTATTCTGTGAGGCCGTGGTATCACTCCGGCCGAGCCGACCCATTCGTGCCGAAGCTTGGCTCTCCCACATTTAATAGACACAAAGTATGATTTCCAATGTGCAAACTACACCAAATATAGTATTTCACACGTAGATATTCGACTAAACTTTGATACTTCCTATATTTAAAACTGCGGAATAACTAATGTCATAATTTTAATAATTAATATTCATTAAACAGGAAAAACCAGTGGGCGTAGAGATGGGACCAGATAATCGACTAACGAATCGAATAGGCGATTAGTATAATCGATTTGTTTAGTGAGAACTGTAGTATCGTTATCATTCAATTAATTATTGTTCAATGCATTCGTATTTTTATTATTATTGAAGCATGGTTTTGTAGGTATCTGTAAATTTTGCATTATAACGGATGTTTCTTTGTTTATTTTATTTTTAAACTAATTGTTCGTTAAAAGGCAATTTACACTTATAAATAAATCTTGACAAATCAACTATCCAAGTCGGTTTATTAGTAAATATGAGTAAAAAAACGCCATTAAACTATTAATTTTATCTCCTGTACTAAACCACTTCAGTACAGTTTAAGTAACATATACTTTTACTACTAATTAAGGTTAAAATGGCTGCTTCTTAATCGCCTAAGTACAGACAGATTAAAAATACGAATACTAAAAACATCACTACGAATATTGTAACTAACATTAATGAAACTTTACGACGTTTATAAAATAAAATGTCATAAAAATAATTTGTTTTTGTCGCCTCTGAACGCGTCCCGTAACATTAGAGATTCTTAAATGTGTTATAAAATTAATATAAGGTCGTAAAAATAGTAGGTAATAAAATTATCGATGTAACTAAACGTGTTTATAAAAAAAAGTAACACAAGTACCTACTACTTACTAGATTTGAATTTCGAAAATCAATTTAATCGCGATAAGGCTTACAATTTGATTCTGAAACAAAGTGATTTAATTACTAGTTCGTCATTTTTTTGTATATTCTAATCCTGATAATATAATAATATGTATTATTCAATTAATTGACTACCTATCACTTAATTTAGAAGAATAGGTATATGTATGCTTATAAATGGCGAATACGAGAGCTCTGTCTATAACTTTCTGAGATAAGTGATACTCACTTATTTAGGGCCGAGAATCAAAGCTTTCTGCTCCTTTCATATTTTATTGTCTAATCGTAATATTCTGTTTGCCAACAGGTGTGAATCCTAGAAAACAAAGACGAGAGAGGACAACATTCACTCGGGCACAGCTCGACGTTTTAGAAGCTTTATTCGGGAAGACAAGGTACCCTGACATCTTCATGAGGGAAGAGGTCGCGCTGAAGATCAATTTACCCGAGAGTAGAGTACAGGTAAGAATTGAAAAATCAATCATCTTCTATCTTCTTGGCGTTCTCCAATACTAGGTTTTTATTGAGGAGGAAAAGTCATCACATTAGGTACTTCTATAATCCCTCCCTCTCACCCCATCCTTAAATATCCAAAATCCTTATCCCCAAAAGTTCGCAACGCACTCGTAACTCCTTTGAGGTTGCGGATGTCTACGAGTGGCGCCGATTGCCTACCATCAGGTAATACGTCTGCTCGTTTGCCGACCTATAACATAAAAAAAGGGAATGTCAGACTCATACTGATTTAAAACCTCCCCGTTCCTTCTCCTGTTTCGAGCCACACCGCTTTATAGCTATTATTACGCTCAATGCAACCCTCAATTTAGACTTAGAATTTAAAAGTAAAAATTCGTTCATATCTTCAACATTACTTATGCATACATCCTAAGTCATACACCTCGCTCACTAGAAACTTACGCATAATTATAACGTAGTTAATATATTATAAAATACCCATAGCCCTTATCAGGCAAGCGGAGAAAATCCGTTGATTATTAAGTTTCAATTAAGTCGAGATAGAGCATCTAATAGATGAATAATAATCCATCATAACGTGACTATGTGCCACCCAAAACGCTATTAAAAAATAAAGTTATTAAAATCTTCAACAAACCCACGCCAGTTCAATACCAACGCTCGACTGACTTCTAATTCGTTCAAACGTCCAATTTATACCAACACGAATAGAGCATTAGCGCTACCAATCGAATTACGTTCTGATTTTGAAATTTGAAAATCGAATTATTCGATTGTTTTGCGTCGACGCTGTCTGAGTTGTTAAGTACTTATAAAGCTTTTAAGGAATCCGTTATAAACATGGCGGTAAAACGTTTTTTAAAAATGGAATGCATTTTAAATTGGGGTGTCAATTGCGAAAAGTTGTAAAGTATTGAAATAAAACAATATTCTGTTTATAACGGTATTTTACAGGTTATAAAACAATCCCCCGTCAGTTTCGATGGGAGTATTTTTAAGACACTGAAATGATTTTGCAAGCCTAGTATTTAATATCCTTTTCGGTAGACCATCACGTAGAAACTTTCAGTGTTTTGCTGTCGCATGCTACAATTTTACATGTACACTCTCTCCCTCCCCAATTATTTTTGACATTCTGATTTCAAAGCTTGTTCGACTCCCTGATAACTAACGTACAATATTATATTTCTATGTAATTTTTTTTACTTTCAAATTTTTCTCTCTCTCTCTCTCTTTCTTTATATTAATTGGTATAGACTGAAAAAACTACGAAATAAATTTTTTTTAAATATCGTTTAACAAGAAAAGAAATAAAAAATATACCTCTAAATTCCAATTTTAAATCTATCAACGAATTTAAAACCCCTACTATAAGTTCTCACTAATTATCCGTAGAATAAATCGCAAAGCTTATTCGTTTGACGGTTGTGATCTGATAAGAATACTTCAAACACATCACAATTAGACCGTTTAGATGTCACTATCAGATCTGGGTAATGATGGGAGGGGTCGCCCTCAGTTTATCTTACAAAGCCAGAGTGCAATTCTAAGGTTTTTACAATAATCGTTTATTGTTTTTTTTATGTGATAGGATGGCGTATAAACACGCGTATGGATTACCTGATGGTAAGCAATTAACGCCGCCCATGGACGTTACGCGTGCGTTGCCGATTGCCGACCTTTTGGGGATAAGGGTTTTGGGATTTAGGGATTGAGGGACGCTAAGTCTCACTCATACAGTCTATGAAGTATATGTAGATATTGATTTATCTAAAGCATTGCAATGTGGCTTTTCTTCTCCTCTGAGGAGTATTTTTAGTTACTTTTAGTCTGTTATTTCGAACTACGACTAAAAAAAGTTGACATCATTGATTGCACCCTTAATATATAAGCTTAACTATTATATCAATCAGCCCCCACACAGAACCCGCCAACTAAAACTTGCCACACGCTCTTTATAACATAACAATAAATTAAGAAGAATAATTAGCAAGCCATCTGTCGTATGCCATTTATATATTTTCACAAAAAACTGTGTTAAAACGAGGGTGAGGTAAGCTCGTTCGGAAATGGTGAAGCACGTAGCGACCTCTATTGAATATAGTGAGTACCTTTCGTTGACGCTACTGTTATGAATATGAAAAGTGTAGAAGTGAAATTTTGAAGGAAAAAAATTAACCTATTTTTAAATAGATTTCTGAAATATTTTAATCATTTTTACAAACCCTTTGTGGCCTAGTATGAACTAATTGCTTTTTCATGACCTAATAAGGTGAAATCGGAAGGTTTTCTCTGTAGAAGTTTCTCCAAAAAATTTGGATTTTGTTTTTATATTAATGCTGATACTAAATTTCTTAATGGGTGTTATTATACATATAAATAAACTTTCCTCTTCAATCACTCTCTCTATTAAAAAAAAAAGCATCAAAATCCATTGCGTATAGTTTTAAAGACTTAAGTATACATAGGGATCAGCCGAGCTTGAGGTGCTAGCGTAATAAGAAACCGTGGCCTCGGCCTAAAGCAGGAGAAGGAACGGGTGGGTTTTTAGTCAGTAAGATTCACTCCTTCTCGTCTCACCCTGGGCAAAAGAAGTCATTTGATGATTTTCCCCTCATAAGTATACATAGGGATAAAGGTACAGAGAAAGCGACTTTATTTTATACTATGTAAAGTGTAGCGAAGACTTCAAAAATAATCTACAAAAATCTACTTGGACAAAACTGCAGGCACTACTCCATAAATATTATAATAAAAAAAATCACCCCTACCATTTGCCTTTCGCCACATACTCACGTATATGAGTAATAAATCACGTTTATAATCCGCTACGCAAACTGAACTAGAACGCGTCGAGTAATTGCTTCGAGCGATTGCACCGTGCAAATAGTAGGAGCTTGTTACTGGTTTGTTGTAATTGTGATATGTTTACATATGTTAGGGCTGGCACTCTGTATTTGTTTCAAAAATGATGTTATTATTAATTTAGTACAAAGAAAATTCAAGAGCGAATAAGATCGCAAACTTTCTTGAGGTTTTTCCATCGATAGTGAAATAAATAATCTTTTCCCAAACGATAATTTTTACTTACTCATCTTTAAAACAATGAGAAAAAGTTTGTCTCAGAAAAGAGACTACTCAATTCCAAAGCCTTGATATGTTGAACTCAAAATAACGTTTGATCAACAGGTCTGGTTCAAGAACCGAAGAGCAAAATGTCGACAACAACTACAGCAGCAGACGAACACACAGATATCCAGTAAATCCACGTCCAGCTCGAAGACATCAGTCGCGAACAGCAACATCAAAGCTTCCACGAGCTCCTCAAAGATAACCACATCAAAATCCCTCACCAGTTCTTCAAACGTACCTACTACACAGAACTCTAGTATCACGACATCTTCTCCAAACCTCCCTATAACTCCTACCACTTCTGTCAGTCCTCCTATCAATGTTATCTGCAAGAAGGAGTCTGCAGGATCGAACTATGAAAGTTCACCGCTGAATAAAAATAATAGTCTAACTTCTCTATCCCACTACAACTCCAATGAGCTGAGAATAAGTGGTGGCAAAGAGTCCTCCCCTTCAGAACCTGTGTCCAACATTCACGGTTATGGAGTCACTCCTAAGCAGGAGCTGTACAGCAGTCCGAAGAGACTGGACTACTCCAGCAAGTTGGACTACTCCGAGAAGTTCGGCAGCAACCTGGTTAAAGACCAATACAGTTCCCGATTGACGGGTAACCTCACTCCTCTGGGGTCCAACTCCTCAATCATGACCACCCCATCCCCTCCTATTACTCCTCAGAGTATAAACGGACCAGGGAACGTGTACCACCCGGATAGTTACAACAGTTTCCATTGGCCGGGTAGTTCTGATTACATCAGGAGTTACTCGACATCACACCACCATCAGGGCTATGGGCAGAGCGCGTACAATTCGCCATATTATCCTAGTCAGGTGAGTCTTTACCATTATTTTTAACATTACTTGACGTTAGATTCTTAGACGACATACTGAAAAGTTATGTAACATGCCTACAAACATTCAAGGTATTTTTGTTTCCAATTTCTATTTTAGTTATAAAACTTTAGCTTTAACTTTTTACTATTTGAAATAATAGGTACCTATATAAACTGTCATTATTCTTTGTCATACTTTAATTAAAACGGAATGGCCTCACACTCAGAGTAGATAGTAGTTAATATCGTCATGGAAACAGTACCATTTGAAGAGAGAGTAATAATAATAAAACGCCCTCTGGCTTGGATTTAGGTACCTACTCTGCCATTTAATCAAAATAATATCTCGGTGACCGACGGCTACTTTGATCGCGAATTGTTATGAATTTTTTTTTGCTTTAGCTTTTAAATTACGTTTTCTAATCCTATATTAAATAATTAAATTACTTTTTTTCTATCTAACAAATCAGTTATTTGTGTACATTCAAGTATTTTTAAATATTTTATTATCTATTTGATGAATTCTTATTAAAGTCATATAAAAAATGTAGGTAGGTATGTAAACTCATAGAGAGTGACTTAATTTTTTCGCGCCAATCTGCCATAGACAGTTATCAATTATTGTTTTTACCTGCACAAGTAACAGTTCTGCAAAGTCAAAGCTTTTTTCAAATTTGGACAAACATTCTAACGTCCACCTTTTTTACAGATGGAATATTTCAACGGTTCCTCGGTGAACCAAACGCACGGCAGTCACCATGGTCACAACCTGACTGCCAACGGCAACCAGCTATACAACCAAGTATCCTTCGGCAACCCCTCACCACCAGGGGCCTGGGCATCACACCACAACATCCTATCTTCAGGTCCAGAGTCGCCAGAAAACCAGTCCCAAAACTCACCGCACTTGAGCATGCTTCAAGCTTCACAAATAACGAACTTTTCAAACACGGGGAACAGTTATTTCGCGCCAGAAAAGTATGGTATAAATATGGTTTAGTACATCTAGTCCTTTATTTTGTAGTTGTACATATGTCTGTATAGTGGTGTGCGAGGACGATCGAAAAGGAGTTTGTATGTTTTTGGGACTCTTTGCTTTTTTTGACATCTGTCAGATACGTTTAGTTATCATCGAGAGGCTTATTCGATGTTTGAAACAGCTATTCTCTCGTATTTTTCTTTATTTTCATTTTTTTATTTTATACTCAAGTATTCTTTATTTACTTTTACTTTAATAAAATATGAAAGTTTATAAAAATACGATGTAAGTACATATCATACGACGTGTTGTTATAACGAAACATACAAATTCAATTTCAATCGTCCGTATTTACTTCAAATGTAGAAAAGCGTTGTTAAACATTGTAAATTATTATTTTTAACAAGACTTGCTACCATATTAGGTACTGAAAAATAAGAATACAAGTTATTTATTAAACAATTAAAACAATACGACGGCAAGTCTTGTTGAAACTAAAATTTACAAGAGATACTTAAATTAATTTTACATCAAACGCAATTTTAAAACGATTTTCAACGAAATCTTTGTCGAGAGGCCTAATTTAAAACGAAGGAGGTACTATTGTATAGTTTATCTATTACTAATTTAAAATAAACGTCAAAAACAACAAATGAAAGCAAATTTCATTTTTTATTGTAAAAAAATTTCGGCGTTCAAATTAAGAATTGTGTATCTAAAGTTTTTTTCTGACTTGCTTCCCTGCGCCCGTCTATAAACACCTGAAATCATATCACATTATTATATTTAATAAAAAAGGAGTTACTTAGGATACATTTAGTGAGGAAATTCGCTAAATTAACGAAATAATTTAAACGTTACTTGTATTGAAACGAAAAACTACAAATTTCAGCGATTTACATAGCTTCGGCTTTGGCTTTAGCTTAAGTTTTACCATTTTAAATAAAAAAAACCGTTGCGAACATATAAGTGTCAAAAGAGTCAAAAAGTTTTGTTATTCTACACATCAAAACACAACAATATGTCAAATTGCTTTAATAGATTTTCAACCAACTTCGTAATAAAGTTGTCTGGATCTTTTGACAGTTCGGGTCAGCTGTGACTGTGATGTGCTTTTGTACATAGAGTTTTTCTTCCAAACCATGCCTGATACATACCTTAGTTTCAATATAAGTAACGTTACATAGTTCTATTGTACATAAATTGTATGTTAAGAATTTTATTTTGTATATGTGTGTGCTACGAATGTATATGTGGGTTATTATTGTCTAGTTCTAAGCGATTGTATTTTTTTTTGTAATTTTTAGACCAGTGACAACCCTGCCATAACTTATACAAAATAATTGTAAAGTTCGTAAAACAATGAAATTTTAGGGTAAATCCGTAGCCATCTTCGTTTCAGGGATTATAATATTATTCAACAGAAAATTGAATTTTAATTTCTTGGAACTTTTAAGTTATTTGACATATTTTCACAATTTTTTTAATAATTGACACTTACAATGTATATTTTTAAAAAGCATGAACAAAGATGGCTACTAAACGTAATTGGCGCCCATGACAGTTGACATTGCCGACAAAATGGCGGATAAAAAGAAAATAAAAATCTCTTTGACTCGTAATCGGGTTTTTGAGTCCGATAGTATCAGATCAGAGTACTAAAATGAGATTATTAGTTAATTTATATTGTTTTATGAATAAAACGGGACAATTGTGTGCGGGAAATGGGCCTAATGTCTTCATTAGTTATTGAGCCGCGATCGGGGGTTACTTGAACATCGGTAATACTTTTATTTGTAAATATTTTCACCACTTGTGTAATTCTATGTAAAGATTTACTATGCCAGCTAAACACAGGGTAATTAACGAAGGGATATTAAGAACTAACCCTATATTATAAAAATATATTTACCCAAAGAAATGGCAAGTAAATCGTAGAGTATTTTAAATATTATTTTATATTTTTTAAACATCAGAATAAATACTTTATTTAAATATTTTTTCTTTCAAGAATAGTATAATTTTTATTTTATTTTTATAACGATCGATGTTTGAGGGATACCAGCGTCGAAAACAAATTTCCCAGTTTCGTAGTTTTTAATGTAATGAAATTGTAATTTATAGTAAATATTAAGCTTGGAAATAGCTAAATAGTTAAGTACATTACTTGTACGGTTCTATCAAGAGTCAGTGTATTTTTTTTAAGTTAAGTTGTATTAATTATTAACTGATAGCTATTGAAATATTGAATCCGAATATATGCATATAAAATACATTTTTTCGTGTTTCATTTTGTGTATTTACCTGATCATCTATACTAATATTATAAAATTTGTAAGTTTGTATGTAGGGGGTAATATTTGGAATGGCTAGTCGGATTTCCAAAATTCTTTCACTGATAGATAGCTACAATGTTCCTGAGTGCTATAAGCTATAAAACATCACGCTACGATTAAATGGAGCCGAGCAGCGTGAAACCGCGCGAGAGTAGCTAGTAATCTATATAATGAAATACCTACAAAATTACTTAAATAAAGTTATAAATAAAATTGACCGAATTGGTTGTAACTTGCAACTAGAGCTCTTCTCAATTCATTCACCTTAGTAATCCATTGTAAATTAACTTAGTATATTTAAGCTAGATATAGTAACAAGCTACTTCTTTTAGGAAAAAACTAAATATCTAAAGTTACGAGTTACTTTGCTAGATTGAGCTTATTTCCGAAAGAGCAGGGACAATTAAGTACTTACTTATATAATTCTTTAAGTGTTTAGAAGCATTTATCGTGGAAGGTTATCTATACTAATATTATAGAGAGGTAGTAAGTTTGTATGTAGGGGGTAATCTTTGGAACCGCTGGTCGGATTACCAAATTTCTTTCACTACAATGTTCCTGAGTGCTATAAGGCTATAAAACATCACGCTTCGATCAAATGGAGCCGAGTAGCGAGTGAAACCGCGAGAGTAGCTAGTAGCCTATAAAACCTGACCGAAAGACCTGACACTAGGATTTTCTCCTGTGTCAGGTCTTTTGTCAACGTTTTCTTAAAAGAACAAAGAACCACACTATACATCCACTATAAAACCAGCATTAAGTATATTTTTTGTTATTGACGACAACATCTGAACTAAACCTAACAATTTAATAGGTATCAATGAAGCCTAAAAGACAATTAGTAGTGAGCTTAAATAAACTAAAATAGACCTAGACAAAACCACTTTAAATCTTAATAAGATTACTTACAATAACTGTATTACAAGAACGATTATATAAGATGGTAATTAAAAAATAATGTGTTTGCTACTCATACCTACATCATCATAATAAAAGTGCCTACTGCTGAGCAAAGGACTAAGAAGGTTTGAGCATTAATCACCATGCTTGCCCAAAGTGGATTTGCGATTTCAAACCTATAATTAGAAAGTATAAGTCCAGGTCTCCTCACGATTAAGCGCAATGAGGCACTGCGACCTCGGCCCAGAGCAGGAGAAGGAACGGGGGTTTTAGTCAGTAAGAGTCTGACACTCTCTCTCGCCTTACCCTGGGCGGGAGAAGTCAGGGATTTTCCCCTGACAAAAAAAATGTCTCCTCACGATGTTTTCATTCAGCTTAACAATCAATAGAAAGAACAAATCTGCTGGTAATAATAATGGACAATAATCGATCCTATGTGATCCAAATAATAATATGCGTAATAAAATAATTGAGAGTCAGAGCCTCGTTCAAACGCGTTAGCTAGCTAGCTACTCGCTACTGGTAGCTAGTAACTCGAGACGAGTTCGCTGACTGAAGCCCGATGCCCGACGTCCTACAACGGAGGAGTCACGTGACCCGGCCACGATGAACGTGAGGACGATACGACACCCAGCTATAAGTTTGTTACTCATTATATTTATAGGTGAACAGAAAAACAATGGGTAGGTAAGTAAATTTGTTGATTTGGTAATGATGGTACGCTATTTAATGGTGTATGTATGTAGGTATATATTTGGAAAAGCAAATTAAAAATATGCAGTTACCAAAATATTAAACTTGTGGTCAATAGTAGGTACATATCAAGCCTCTTTTTTTATGTTATAATTCGGCAAACAAGCAGACGGATTCCCTGATGGCAAGCAATCGGCGCCACCCATGGACGCCCGCAACACCAAAGGAGTTACAAGTGGGTTGCCGGCCTTTTGGGGATAGGGGTTGCGGATATAAGGATCGGGAAGGGATAGAGGAAGGGAAGGGATTAGGCCTCCAGTAACCTCACTCACACGGCGAAACACAACGCTGTGGTTGTTTCACGCCGGTATTCTGTGAGGCCGTGGTATCACTCCGGTCGAGCCGACCCCTTCGTGCCGAAGCTTGGCTCTCCCACACTTAAGCTCTTTTTTTAAATGTTATGTTGTACTTACTTACTTACTGACTAAAACAACCACATAATAACGCTTGACCCGCAACCCTGGAAATAAACTAATAGGTATAATCTTATTGAAGAAGAAGAAGACACTATCTTCATTGATTAATAAATTTATAAATGAACCTTCGAAATGTTGTACGCACATAACTTCTAATCTCGAAGCGGTATCAGGAATGATTGTTTGATATAAGTACCTATCCTCCATTGTCAAGATAAGGTACTATTTACTGAAAGACATGAAAAATAGTAACCATGCCAAGCTAGGAAAACATCTATCATCTAAGAACTATCTAACTACTTCCATATCAGATTTATACCAAAGTATTTTTCTTATTTCTTATGTGATAGACGTCTGATGGTAAACCTTCGTTGTCGCCCATGGACACCCGCTACACCTTAGGAGTTACGAGAGCGTCGCTAGCCTTTTAGGGTTTAGGGCTTCCATTAACCTCACTCACAAAGCAGCAAAGCACAACACAAGCGTTTCTGTGATGCTAATTTAGACCAACGCAATATTCAAGCTGGTCCATTCAAACCCGCAGTTCTCTCCCAAACTTAAAAGCCATCACGTAACTATCTGAACTTACTTAAATGATAAAATTATTATTTTCAATGCGAGTATACAAACCCAACCTAATAAAAATAACAATATAGCAAAAGCAATACATTCCTGTCAATTCTCATACCTAAACATTGGTAGGTATAATGTTCCAGTAGGTATCTAAGTTTTTTCAATCACTTTGTACATGCCATTGTGGTAACTATACTTTGTCTGGTCTCAAGTCCTAATCTAAGGTGCTGTTAAAATGAGAATAAAAACTAAGCCATATTTATTTAATGTTTAAATCGAAAATCACGTGTAACCTCCATCATTAACTTAAAAGTGCGTAGGTACTAAGGTCTCTACTCAACCGGAAAAGGTTTGAGCATTAATCACCACGCTTGCTCAAGGCGGATTGGCGATTTCAAATTTATAATAAGAAATGATGTCTAGGTTTCCTGACGATGTTTTTTGTTTTCGCGTTATGTCAGTGGTGTCTAACTAAAATCATAGAAAGTATAGTACGTATAACTCAGAAAAAGTCATATTAGTTCTTGTCAGGTTTCGAACCCTTCATGCATGAGAACGAGCCTTAACCTCTGGGCCACCAAGACCTTATTTAAACATTCAAAACACCCAGTCCTAAATCATCCATTTTATTTGAAACCAAATATAGTTTAGGTAAGAATTATAATTGCTTATGTCTAAGTACAAGAGTGAATAGGAAAATATGGATTCAAGATATTCATGCCAGGAAGTGAACGAAAATTATTTAAAACTTTGACAAAAAAAAAGAAACAAACTAAAAAATACTTTCTTTCGCCTTTCCAAATAAATTGAGAGGACTCGTGTCTAAGTAAAATTCTACGGAAAAACTCAAAAATATTTCATGAATTTCACAGAAAAGGATGAATCTACCATTATTCAGAATGAACGATGTT